CAGAAAAAATTCTCTTTGAACCAAAAATCTACAAAAAAAGCGCACTTGTGGTTTCTGGTTGATTCAGGGTTGTCGGTTAACGCGAGTTAGGTCACGCTGTTTGATAAAGGATATCACGCCGGGCATTCAGTAGAAAGGCTAGTTTAAGGTTGCGGCCTCATTTGTGCTTCGAAAGAACTACTGAGCCAAGAACTTAGGTTAGCTTTCCTAAAAAGTTTTCTACTCAACAATATTGGTGTAAAAAGTAATGGCAAATAAACAAACGATTGGTAATCCATAGATTCACGGTTCACTTTTCCTCAAACTTTGAACGTCATAGTAAACTACATTTTTCTGATCCGTAGTAGCTCCATGGCTTCATTGTTGATTGTGTCCCTTTTCACTGTACCAGTATGTACCCCATGGTTCTGATGTGTTTTTCTCCATTATCAGGGGAGTATGTTGCTTCATTTCCGCACGTGTTGTGTCCTTCTGTACCAAAAACAATTCTTGAGTTGCAAGTAGAGCAGTCATCCTGGTGGTTAGCAATGACGCCGATTCTTGCTTTGGAGTAAAAACGTACTTCACTTACGGCATTGAACCCTTTCTTGTTACAGGCGAACTGTAAGGAGGCCTGTGGACCAATCAGTGTCTTCCACACGTCCCGACCTAGTGACGTGTTGCGGTATTTCCCGTCAGCAACAAGTGAGTGCAAAGAGTCAGCCTGCTTTTTGATTACAATGAACCTGATCTTGTGGTTGATCTTCATACCGAGACAGATCTTAGAGAAGGGAGTTCTCCAGTAGGTCGGTAACTTGGTTTCTCGTAAATCAAAGCCAGTTTTGCCTCCATCGAGGTTATAAGGAATTTTTTTCTTCCAGAGATTGGAACTGTAGCGGAAAATGCTCTGAAATTGATAAAAAAAAAAATGCTTTTTACCATTATTTAAACTAGCCAGGATTCTGATCAGTACGTAAATACGAGGCAAAAGCCGAGCGAAAGACATTTAATGGTTTTCAGAGAGATGGCAGGCATCCAGTGTCCATCTACTTTTTCGCTTTTCTACAGTGAACTGTGTTCATATTGCATTTCTTATAAATAATATGAAATATTATTTATCAGAAAGGGAGGAGGGAGATGGAATCCGATGAATTTGGTTGTGTCACAACAAAATTTATCCAACTCCTCCCTGAGGTTCTCTAATATTTTAATGAACCTCCACTAGCAGTGAATTTTCGGTAGCAACCCATTCATACTCTTTTAGCGACTTTTGATCCCTCCTCTGTTCCCCCTGAATACAATGCGGTTGCGATCCCCAGTAAAATCTTAGCCTCTCACACCTTGACGATATGAAACGACTGGTCGCCTAACAGATAAATTTATACCTTAATGCCATTGGTTTTCAAGACCGACTTCCATCCTCCATCTCCGCATCCAAAGTCTCCCAAATGACAAAAAACGGAAAATTTCTCTTTGCCTATGTGTAGGGCAACTTCACCACTCTTGTTCGATCTGTTGAATGAAATTCCTTTATTCAGCAGTGGTGGTATATTTAAAAGTTGATAAAGGTTAAGACCTGCCCATTATTAGTGCGTCAGATAACTTTTTAAAAACATCAGATACCTTTTAATTACTTCCAAAAACAGCAGTTGACCTTTCTCTTTGTAATTTTGTTATCATCATCTTTTTAATTTTCATTTCATTTTAGTTGTTGCAAGTGAATAATATACTTACATATTACGCTCGTAAATTTCTTTGCACGTTGAAGCTGAAAAAAAAAAATATATATATATATATGAATAAATATTACTAAAATAATTGCATGGGGGGAAAATTAGACTTTTTGATAACGAATCATCAAAAGCAAAAATAATAAGTGGTATTGTAAAATGCTCTCAGACGGAAAACATAATAAAAAAAAAAGAAATTAATATCAAGTGCTAAATACTAGAAGAAAAGGCTCACGTTTCCTTTAATTGAGGGTCTCAATGGGGGCGTCACGTTGACGGTCGACGGTTAAAAATATGCCCTTTTCATGATTGACGGTTAAATTTCAGGTCATTTGACGGTTAATTTTTTGGAATATCGTTTATAAAACGAACTAAACGCCCAAATTTTGGCTGCATTTTTTCATAATAACGCGTTTGTAAAGAATTGTTAATTCATAACCCCTTTTATTAATAAATGACCAACGATTTTAGCGGAGTGTTTCCACACCTGAAGTCAGTTCTGTCGCTAACCAGTTTTACTCGTGAATAGAAGTTGGGTCTCTGTAAAACGCGGACCGGATAGATGCGGATGGAGGATGCGGATGGAGGATGCGGATAGAAAAATGCGGATGAAAAATTGCGTATGGAAAAATGCGGATAGAAAAAATAATGGTTGGAAACATTATTAAACATGTCATTACAGTCGAACCCCGCTATGTCGAACTCGGTTAAATTTAAGTCCTGCTATTTCGAACAAAAATCGATTTCCCTCGGATTTACCCCTCTGCTAAAACACCAAAATACCGCTAACTCGCCGAAAACGCTTCAAAATGGCCTGCGACGCTGATAATCAACAAAGAATACAATGAGGCAATAAGGTAAGACAATTTTATTTCAAAACACTACATTTTTTCTCTCTTTTAAGGTAAACCGATAACATCCCATACAAACCTTTATAAATGACCATAGCGCAACGCTGCAAGAGGCACGTCCGCCCTTCTAGTAGTGAGCTTGGGCTGCCTGTGTCACAATAGAAATCAATCAACACTCTCGTTCATGAAACGCTGCCACTCTTTTATGTTGACGCCTGCCGTGATAGAAGTCGTGGTGGAAAGTTCTAGTTCAGAGAGCGGTGAGAGCCCTATTTTTAAGATCACATGGTGACTTACTGTTACACTAATGGTTTTGTCATTTTCAGTTTGGCTGGTGCTATCTAATTTCCTGCACAAGCTGTATCCTTTTAAATCTGCGAAGTGTATTTTGCCGATTTGCCGGAGTGAGAACACAACATGAAAAGACATAGGACGTGGTTTGTCTTGACTTTATATCTACAAATCTCTATTTTTCTTCTCGAGTTTGAAATGGGTCTTGTTGAATAGAGGTTTTACCAAATATTTCATATTTTTACGCTTTAATAAATGAATATGCTGCTTCAGCCTGTGTCTGCATTTTCTCGTATTATTCTTACTATTTTGGTTTACCCACAATTTTTTTCCATCCGTCGTTTACAGTTTCAGCTCTGAGTTTCTTTCGTTTTAGCTCATCCTCGCGTTAACGAAAAGAGACAAACAAAAGGTGTGATATAGTCGGACCTTCTTCGGTATTGGTAACATGGGAGAGATATCATCACGGCGTAAGATCTCTCTGCTTAAGTGAAAGTGACACAAACCCGCGAACAGTATGAATAGGTCTCGTACAGTGTAGATCTCCATAAGAAATTGCTTTGACCGTCAAAGAAGGGGCGAAATGTCTTATTGGTTTAGCTGGAAACTGACAGAACTAATTCTTGCTCTGTGTTTTAGTCCCAGCATTATTTAGCGTAGCATTGTGAACTGTAAAATAAAGTTTATTAGTCGGCTACGCCTGAGTTTACATGCTCTGAGTCCTAGTCAGTATTGTGTAATTCAAGAGAAAAGAGAGTGATCAGCCCTAAGAGTTTAAGAGGGAAGAGGAAGGGGGGAGGAAGGGGGGAGGAAGCGGCGGGAGTAGGAGCAGCATAGAAAAATGTTTGAAGTCGTGGAATCAATTTATTACCTTTTTTGACCATCTTGTATTCTTAGCTTTGATTCTCGTTTAGATACCGTAGAACGATCTAATGTAATTAAATAATCAACAATTGGGCTTAGTCTGTGCATTAAACGCGATGTTTCATCATTGATAGATGCGATGCTCGTAAAAGTATTGTTTTATTAGTTTATCAAACACCTCTCCAACCGGCTCTCTTGGGGTAAATTATGAACCATGCCTTCTGTTGTAAACGCTCCTCCCTTATTTTTTCACCATTCTTTTGTTCCCTTTTATTCTGTCCCATTGCCGATCTTTCCTCATGCGAGATTGAACTTCCCTTTTCAGGTTTATTAGGGTTGTTGTCAGCTTATTTGAGGCCTCTTGAAATTCTTCTTGCAGTAACTTTACTCCGAGTTATTGAGCTTCCCGTAAATGCGTAACCTCGTCACTTACAAAAGGTCTCAGTGTATGTTAATCTCTTGAAAGGATTTTTCGCTTGCTGTCGATGAATGATGACAAATCTGTGGATTACAAGGTGTCAATTATAGTGGCCAAGCAGGAATCACACTTGGCAATTTCATCGCTACTCTTGTAATCGTTTAGGTCTGCAATAAATTGTGATGTTTTTAGATACTCCTCACTTTGCGCTTCTCTGAAGGTTGTTTTGAATTCCTTACCTCACAGATCTCTTCTTTTTGGGTTTAACTGCCAGCGCTTTTGCTGTTGTTCAAGGAGATACCGTTTGAGCCCGCTTTGCTTTACATATGCTTAACAACATTGTTGTAAGACTTCAACCTACCGATATGTGGCTCAGGAGGAAAATATTGTTTTCATGGTTCTTTTTTTGACGATGCAGAGTCGTTCCTCTCATGGTATAACTCAAATCGAAACGCATATGCATTCAAATCAATCAATGTATAGCATTCAAGTTGTTCTTGTTTTGTTTGATTTACTCTTTTGGTCCGAGAATATAATTCGTGAGTCTGATACTTTAGACGTAAATAGTGATTGTATCGTGATTCAACATACAGAATCAAGAGAATGTAATCTCTTGACAGAATAAAGCTGTTTGCCTGTCTTGACAATTCTTCTATTTTGTCTTTGGTTCTGTTCCACAGACAGAAAACGTCGTCAATATACCTCATCCACCTGATAGCGAGCTGGGTGATAATACCCTTTTTGTATTTTTGCCATGGAAATATAGGCAAAAGCCACTTCCGTTGTGGAAAAATCGAGTTCCCGGATAATAACAAGAACAGTGGTGCGCAAAGCACACTGGTTGAGCATGGCCCTTGCAGTGTTCGCTCTCGTTACACGCAATGACCGACACACAGGAATCGGTAGTTAGAAATCAGGCTGTGAATGATCATAAATTTGGATTTCTGAACAAGTTTACTCCTAGCGAATGGCTTGTTTTACTGACCAGTGCTACGTTTACCGTAATAGCTGTTGTGTGGGCTGCGTATCACTCGAACACGATTTGCACTTGTGAAGACCTCAGGGACGCTATGAAATCGTTGGAGAAAAAGCTTGAAAAGGGCGGAGAAGATTTCAGAGCCCGAACCAGCGAGGCCATTAGATACTTTGAAGCATCGTTTAAGGAAAATTGTGGTGAAGGTGAACGAAAGGGAGAGAGGGAGCTCGATCCTCCTGCAGGTAACTGATGTAGTGTGCAACGAGTTCAGCTGTCAGAAAAGAGTAGAAAAACAAAAGATGCAAAAATCGACCGAAATTTTCAATTATCCATTAGTGTTTTGGGCCCAAAGTGAAACAAGAGCTTTTAATTTGAGTCACCTAAGAATCTGGCGGGTATCATTGTGCTCATGGCGAAATTTTTTGACCAAAAGGGCGAATGAATATGATATGCAAGTGTGAATATTTAATATGTTGGTGTCTTGCGATGTTAAAATTTGTTACGCAGAGCATGATGGAGGACGAGTCATAATGAGCTTAGAATCGCCTTTCAAAATCATATCCCTAAGAAATCGAATTACATGGACGACATCATTACTGTAAATTAAACGAAGAGAGGCAACATCAAATATTTTAGAGGTCATTCAACACAGACAGAATATTCCAGTGCATTTGCCTACAAGCCATACTGTAAATGTAGGAGAATATGGAAATTATGTGCAGCGCTGTTTAAAGTTCAGAGTTATGGTTGCGTAACATACAGCTTCGATCACGTTTTACAAACTCTAGAGTTATCTGGTGTTCTTGTAGCATTTTTAGGAAATTATGTGTTAGAAAAAGGTTGGTGAGCGTGTACTACTTTTAATTAAACGATCGAGCAAGTCTTCGAGCGAGTGTGTTTCCGATTTTTTACAAGTTAATTAAAATCGAAGAAGCTAAGTAACCTAGAATTAATCTGTTTATTACACTAGTATTGAGATACTAAAATGTTTTAATCACAGTCAAAGGACCTCAGAAGACAAAGATGTCGCGAACTCGATATCGCTTCAATTTAAACCCAGTGAATGCTGTAGAGACGCCTATAATGACCAAATTCAAATATGCGAAACTGTAATTTTAGGATAATTCATTTAAAGACAAAAAAAAAAAAAAACCTTACAAAGCCCATTCAAGAAGGGAACGTTGCAAACATTCTCTCGCAATTACTTAACATGGCCGCTCCGAAAGGTGGAAAAGCCGATACGATTTTTCTTACTCGAGAAAAAATCGTCATAGGATATTCTTATTTCTGAGAAAAATCGTAGACTAATGGGATCGCTTCTCATCAAAGAGAGCAGATTTTTATTCGGTAGGTTTGCACTAAGTAAATTTTAGTACTAACATGATAATTTGTCCTAATTTGTGAGTCGTGCTCTTTTTGGCGTGGTGCTCTTATTGGCACTTAGCATTCACTAGCAGGCATCATTTATTTCAACCGCTGACAGTCAATCGGTTAGACCCAAAACATTTTTACAAACGTAACTACATGTTAAGTCACAATAGCTTGCTTTTTGTTGATAAACATAATCACAATTGTGTGCATTGATGGTGAAGATTATCACGCTCCATTGCACGTGCTATTTTCCTTCCTCGTAATTCTCGAATAAACACCACGTTCTTCAGTTCAAATGCGGCAATCAATGGACAGAAGCGTTTATCGGTGACCCATTGCTTCCATCTGTTGTAACTAAGTTCAGGCTGTGCTGGTGTATTCCAGGAGAGTGTTTTGATCGAGTAAATGTGGTATGAATAAACATTTGCCACAGCAATAAGTGGAATTTTGTTTTGATCATATAAAGCTTTTTTGTGTAGTTTTCGTCTTCACTCTACTAATTTCGCTTACGTAACTGTGCTTAATTAATTTTATGACAGATTTGATCTTTGATTCGTGTAAAGAGATCTTCGACAGTAAAAGGTAAGTCATTATTGGTGATTATCATCAATGGACGGGTGGTAAATAAGAGTTAAAGTAAGAGATGCATGGTTTCCAAAGTGGACACCGAGTCTTGAGAATTTACTTTCTCTTACTACGTTCTTAGCGCGAGTAGCGAGCAACATATTAAGTAAGTCAAGCAAAAGAATGTGGTCGTAATTCATGACCTTTGGTAACAATAGCTAAGTACAAATGTGAAATAAGAAACAAAATAAACTTTTTATGGCTGGTGCCTATACATTAGCCTTGCCATATTGTTGTTGATAGAAGTGGGTGAATGAGTGTCATTCGGTTTGATTCGTGCAACTCGATTTTGATCGGAGATAATTCTCGGCAAATTCTGGAGTATTTCGAATACTTATCGGGCACGGTAATATATTATCGTAACACACTACTTCCGATCCAAATATACAGGTTAGGATCTTAATTCTCAAAGACTGTTACTGTGATTCGTTTTTCTTTTTTTTTCTATAAATAATAAATTAGAAAATTGATGATAATTTACAAATAAAGATATTCGTGGACCTGTCACGTGGATATTACGGATAGTTATCGACCACAGCTCCAATTTCCCGCTGGCCATGTGGTCTGTATCTTCGCGAGGTGAGTTGTCTATTTTTACACATTGATTTTTCACTATTTTGCAGCAAGAACAAGGCTCAATTTTCGGTGCATTTACAAAGTGTTTGTTTCAAAACATTTTTATACGGTTCTCGTTAATTTTTGTCCTTGACGTGTCAACAATGCAACGTCTAAATCAAGACATATTTTACGGGAGTCAAACAAAGCCAGCAATGAGGCAAAACAACTCCTTCGGGAGTCAAACAAACCCAATAATGGAACAATACAACTCCTTCAGTAATCAAACAAACCCACTGGGGAACAAAATTTACTTAATATGCCATACCGTGTGAATTTTTCCAAAATTAACTCTAGAACACCAAATTATTGGTGCAAACAATATAAACAATTTGACATCATCGAATACGCTCACCTTGAGGTTAGTGAAGATGTATGCTTTTCCACTGGTAATGGCATCTATTGCATCTTCCCATAATGTCACCTTGATTGATGCTATTTGGTCAGCGATCAAACGGTGAACCTTTCTGAGTTGTTTGTTGTTCTTGAAAACTAGTTGGATCTGATATTTTTTATTCATAACCTTCCCCACTACATCCACAATCCTGTACTCGTCTGCTTCAAGTGCCTCATTAATTGTTACCATAGATGAGAAAACCTGTGAATTATAGGAGAATTTGGCAGTAGTTGGCATGACTTTAAATTTTTTTGTAATTTTGAATTCTTCATTAGCTGTGGAAAAGCTAGTTGTAGAGATCCTCTTTGTCCCAGTAATGTCCCAGTATTGACAGGAGAATTTCTCTGGAACGGTTCAAGCAGGTTCTTTCTTTGTTGTGGTTCATAACATATTCCCCTGACTTTACTGGTATCACCTGTTTGCAAGAGGAAGTTAAAGTATTGGGTTTGCTTCTTTTTAGTGTTGTGATCTGGCCCAAGAAGTGTAGATATCCCTGTATTTCAGCATCTAAAAACAGCTAGAATACGAAAAAAACCCGAGTTACGGACACACACGTATGCACGATAACATGGTGCTTTGGGCTCTACGAGCACTAGGCACAAAAATTAATTTGTATATTATATAAAGTTATTGATAAGTTTTATGATGAAAAGAATGGCATAAAATACCTTGAGAATCATTGCCATTGGTTTGTTTCCTTGAAGATGATCTATCAAAAAAAGAATGCAGTGGTTAATTAATAATTTAAAAAGAAAGTAATTTTAATAATAATTCTGACATATCAAAATCGACAGAGAAAACTCATCAAAATAATACTTACGAAGATGCTGAATGATTTTCCATTGTCCAAAAGAATGTAACCATAAAAACTGTGCAAATGTCTTGAAAAGAACAACGATGCAAATTTTAATCAAAAGCTATAGTACTATCAGGACTAAAAATTATTAATCATTTATTTTAAGCCTAAGATAAATTTAAAATCAGTTTATTATTGCGGAAATTCCTTTGTGATCTAAAAAGTTTCTAAAATTTGAAATGTAATTTGCGATTCAGGTAGGTTGGTGTATATATGATCAATGCAACATTTAACTTATTGTCTCTAACCATGGTTATTGATAAAGAAATTGTTGAGTGGCAAATGATTAGCAACATTGAACCAATTAATATTGAAATCACCAATAAAAAAATTGACTTCTGTTTGAAGTGAATCTAAAATACTCTGAAGTGCAGTGCATAACTGTTCTATTGATTGTGCAGGAGACCTCTGTATTCCAAGTATTGAAATATGTGGTATAACAATAACTCTTAGAACTGTTGTTTCTATGCCATTTGTATTAGCACAATATGGATATCCCGGATAGTAGTCAAGACAGCTGTAAATTACAGTTCCTCCCTTTAGTCGTAATATTGGAAGAATTTCTTGTTGGTGCATCATTCCTGAACATGCTGTATTCGTTATCATGCGTTAAATTATACAAACTATCATCATCCAAGTTCCAGAACCTGCTTTCAGCAAAAATGCACACATCAGTACTGGAGTAGTTGAGATCTGCACGTACATCTTTTATGTGCTTATGCAAAGACCTTGCATTAAGATAACATATTTTCAAACAAATTTGTGTTACATTATATAATGGGTTTACTGCAAATGTCAATTGGCCTCCAGTTCTCAATCGATGCATTTCTGTCCGCATATCATCACTAACAGCTATTTTATTCTCACACAGGTCAGTGACATAGAGACCATCAATAGTCGTTACTCTACTTAATCCTACATAATGTATGTGAGGAATTCCCGTTCTTGTCTCAAAATTTACTACAATCTTTGTTTCAGTATCACCGTCAGATCTATAAATAGTTTTTGCAGCAGCAGGTCTCAATGTAAATTTTCTTCGCACAACACGCAAAAAATGACTTGGATCTGCCAACAGCGAACTGTGTATCAGTGGGCTTAATTGGTGTCCCTATCGGTTCAATTCCATTAATATACAACTGTCTGTTCTCATTCCTTGTGGTATTGTGTTAAGTCTAATTGAGTCACGGCTTTTGTAGTTTCTTAATGATTGACTTGCTGGTATTGCAAGAGTACTATGTATAGTATTTCCCTTAATGTTATATGCCGCTTTTCCAGTAGGTGCTAGCATCAATCCTTGTTTGTGAAAAGTCAATGCCAGGTCTAATATTATACTACTTTAATGCAGCCTTATATTTAACAATGATTCACCGAAGGCAAGATGAATATCGTCGAATAATCCCCGAGACGAAGTCAAAGGGAATTATTCGACGATAACCACCGAACCTGAGGCGAATATTTTTTTTTAGTATAATTCAGAGCTGAACAACAGAGAAATGTCTAAAATCTTAACATTTAGTAACATTTATTCGCATTTTATTTTAACATTTTATATAAACCACGTGGAGCGATTTATATAGCATCATATAAGGAACCGCTCGACCAATCAGATTGCTGGAAACTCTTTGCTCAGCTCTGAAATTATACTAAAAGGGTTTAGTGGCATGTGATTTACCAACACCTGCACCACCACTAGGAAAATAGTAAAATGGTTCTTCAGAGGTCTTAACAAGATGAAATTCATGACAGAAAAGCTATTTTTGTTCTTTATTCAAAGTTTGTACCATATGCCTGTATTCATCATCTGGTAATTCATTCATTGTCAATGGTTCGCTATTGTCTACAGATGGTATTCCTAAATTATCTGATAGATTATAATTGCCGCAAAGATAAGGATGTAAATCTTGGTCCCCTTCTGCCTGCTGTTGTCGTTCTATATTTTGTGTGCATGGAGCTATATGATCATATCTGTCTTCTATTTGATTTATTTGTTGTTGGATTTCATTGAAATCTTCATTGAAAACAGCATTTTGTTTCATTTGTTCTTTAATAACGTTGGAGAGAACCATACATATATCTTCATATGATGCAAAGTTTCCTAGTAAATCAGTTTCCTCATTTCTGCATGAAGTAAACAGCATCAAAAGTTCGCGATGATGTTTTTCTGGTTCTTTTTGTTTGTTAAACCATACACTTCTTAAAATCCTAGCTTTAGAACTTCTCCTTGTTTTACTTTTTGTTGATTGTTTTAACAAGCTCATCATCATCATCATTTTGTTCATCATCAATATATTTTTCCAATGGACGACCATCAATATCAATCTCATGTGTTTTCTTAACATATGGCGTTGAACTACAGTTATCATACCATACAGCCCAATCTGCCAGTGTTAAATTTTCTAACTTTGGTAGGCACTTACAGTATCTCTTAAGTAGCCCAATGGTATTTATATCCTCAGAGTCATCATTCATTTCTTTAATGTCTTCTATAGGCTTCAAAAGTTCTACCCTTTCATCAGGAGGTGGAGTGTTTATAAATATGATTTGTATGGATGCTTTTCTCCTGGGTAACTGCTATGTGATATAAACTGCTCCTTGTGCACATATTTCTACATTATTAATAAATTTACCACCAATATCTTTTACTTGCCATTTTATATTGCAACTGCCCTCTCTAACTTCAGTACAAGCCTGTCTCAAAAGTTCACTCATACCTTTTTGTGATTTTGATATGTAATTTGCTATGTATACAGCACATGCATATACATCTAATGCAAACTGTACATCTATATTTGCTCTCCACCTTGTTAGACAATCTGCATTTTAGTTGTTTACGTGTATCTCATTTGGGTTTCGTTTCAAAAATATGGTAGCAGCATTCAAAGATGAACGGATAGCAAGCAAATAGGTTTCTTCGGTTATAATCAGCTTAAGTAATAAGCCCTCAAATGTCACATCTTCGCAATTTTGTAAATCATCCAGATAATTTTTTATTGATTTCCAGTTTTCTTTCTATGTCTTTACGTCACTACCGGGTGTCTTTTCATCAAATGGATACTATCATTGTTTGTTTCATTGGAGGCTGTGGATAGT